ATGGTGGTGATGTCATGATAGTGGTGGTGATGGCACGATGGTGATGATGATGGCACGATAGTGATGATATCACGATGGTGGTGATGATGTCACGATAGTGGTGATGATGTCACGATAGTGGTGATGATGGCACGATAGTGGTGATGATGTCACGTTGGTGGTGGTGATGGCACGATGGTGATGATGTCACGATGGTGGTGATGATGGCACGATAGTGGTGATGATGTCACGTTGGTGGTGGTGATGTCACGATAGTGGTGATGATGTCACGTTGGTGGTGGTGATGGCACGATAGTGGTGGTGATGGCACGATGGTGATGATGATGGCACGATAGTGGTGATGATGTCACGATAGTGATGATGATGTCACGATGGTGGTGGTGATGTCACGATAGTGATGATGATGTCACGATGGTGGTGATGATGTCACGATAGTGGTGATGATGTCACGATGGTGGTGATGATGGCACCATAGTGGTGATGATGGCACGATGGTGATGATGATGTCACGATGATGGTGATGATTGCACGATAGTGGTGATGATGGCACGATGGTGATGATGATGGCACGATGGTGGTGATGATGTCACGATGATGGTGGTGATGTGGAGGAATATGACAGTGATGATGATTGTTGGAGGGCCATGATGACGGCAGTGTACGAGTGCAGTATTATGAAAATTGTCTTTACGAATGTGATTATTATCGTAGCCACTTCCTGTAAGAAGCCGAAGACGGGCTCGGTTACAGCCCCGACTGCAACCTTGATGGCGCTGTGCCATTGACGGGAGAGCGGACTGGGGGCCGCTGGGCAGGTGACGAGTTAATTTCCGTTCGTCACAAATAATAACAAACCCCATCCGTTAATTCTAGATTTGAAGTTTTCGTGACTGTAATGATCCATACTCTTTGGTTCTTTCGGTAAAGTCACGTGGGTAAAAAAGAAAGTTGATCAAATCACGACGTTTCGGAGGCAACACAAGCTTCTATCATCAGGTGTAACTATTATTTTTTTATATGTTATATTTTGGCTTGGGTCTAATTGTCCACTGTCAACTGACGTTGGCTGTAAATCACCACGGGTCCCCTTACGTTGTGGCAAGCTTCGGGGCCACTTCCTGGAGACGTGGCGTTCTTCCATTGCTAGTACGGCATATTTAATTAAAGCGTGTTTTTTTTATATCAATTATTGTTTTTGCTGCTGTCGCTATTGTAAACTTTAAATCACATTTGTTGGGAAAACTGTTACGTTGTTTATATAGCATAGTACGTTTTATAGGCGCTTAGTATAGATTTATACTTACAATTTCGATCTGTATTGCATGATTGTTATTAGGATCAAACATCGAAATTTATTTTTTTGCACTTTTTGTACGCAGCATGGACGGGTGGTGCTTTTTCTGTAGTATTCTATTGTTTACGTATGTGATGTTTAGATTTGTGTAGAATGAATTTTAGGTGTATCTTGTAATTTTATATGTTGCGTTTGCACCCAAATCAAGAGCCGAATGGCTCACAGGGTAAATCCTAATAAATGAAACTGAAAAACTGAAACTGAAGACAACTGGCGAGACGGGGCCATCATCCGTGGAACAAACGAAAAATAAACTTAATTTATCGGACGCCACGTGCTCTGCCTGCTTACAGCAGACGGCATCCGGAGGATTTAGTGCTCGAGACAGCTCAGCTGTCCATCCGAAAGTCACAAAAAAACAAATTGAACTCAATGCCCAGCGATCTTGCAACAATAACATTTAATGCTTCAAGTGTTTAAACTCTTTAAGAAAAGGAAACGCGTTTGGAACCGATTCATGACATTTCAGCTCAAGAGAGGTTTCACCGTTTTAAACACTGCCACTGAGTTTCCAAATGCCACGGCGATCCAACAGACCCCTGAGTAACCCACCGCTCTCAACAACTCCCATCTCCTTGTGCTTCGTCAACCTGCCGTGTTTGTGCTCATAACGCGAACTCGTTACAGACAACACGCGCCACGGTGGCTAGATGTTTAACTCCATCGCCTGGTATGCAGGAGGTCCGTGGGTTCGATCCAGACCCGGACGCCTGCTGCTGTGTATATGTGGAGTTTGCGTGTCTCTCTCTCATCATCATCACCACGGTGGCTAGATGTTGACTACCTCGCCTGGTATATACAGGGGGTCGTGGGTTCGATCCAGACCCGGATGCCTGTTGCTGTATATCTGTAGTTTGCGTCTCTCTCATCATCATCACGGTGGCTAGGAGATGTTGACTACCTCGCCTGGTATACAGGAGGTCGTGGGTTCGTTCCAGACCCTGACGCCTGCTGCTGTATATGTGGAGTTTGCGGTGTCTCTCTCCACGTGGTCGCGTGGATTTTCCCTCCGGATCCCCCGAATTTTCCCTCCGCATGTTACAAACAACGGCGTTTAGAGTCTTTTCGCTCCTAGAGATGTCCACGTGATGATAAGCCACTTCATCCGAGCGATTATTCGTGGCCGGTTCGCTTCTGAAGAAGAGAGCTGCACGCAGCTCAGGGGGGGGCCTAACCTGGTAAAATAAAATAAGTTTATTTTTAGTTTATAACTTAAAAAACCGCTCGGCGCGTTGGTCAATAACACGGCGGCCTTAAAATATACACTCTGGGCATTGGACCTTCCTTATTACATTTTTTTTACGAGGCACCAGTGACCGTGATATATTGGTCCTTTTAAGAGCGCATGGTCTCATGCACTCGGCCATGGCAGCATCGCCAAAGAAATTCGGTTTAATTTGCAACGAGGGTAAAAATTTGAAAACGAACAAAAAAAATTAAAGTGTGGAACGATCCGACTTGTCCATTATTCATGGGGGTCCGCCTGGCTCTGTCAAGGGTACAACTTGAACGTTGCGGTTTGAGACAGCGCTTTGAAGAGATGTTACGTCTATCTCGCCTGTCACGCAAGGGTTCCCCGTGGGTTCGAACCCGAACCCCCGACGATGCCTGTTGTATATTTGGAGTGTGCGTCTTCTTCCCCCTGTTCTGCAGAGTGCGAGCGAGAGAGTGTTGAGTGTTAATGTGTGTGTGAGTGTTAGTCTGTGTGAGTGAGACTGTTAGTCTGTGTGAGTGCATGTGTGCGATTGAGTTAGTGAGTGTTAGTCCGCGTGAGAGTGTGAGTGCGTGTTCTCCTCCTGTTCTGCAGTCCAGAGTGTTTGTGTGTGTGAGAGTGTTAATCGGTGTAAGTGAGTGTTAGTCTCTGTGAGTGTTAGTCTGTGTGTGTGGAGCGGTAGTGTAGCGGTTAGCGCGCTGCGCTATGAACCCAACCACCCAGGTTCGATTCCCGCTCACGGCCAACACCAGCGACGATTATTTTAACCGGTCCTGGGCCTCCCCTAGGTCGACTCAGCCTCAAATGAATACCTGGTGCGGTGTGCAGTAAACATCGCCACTGGGGAGACAAAGGCGGTCGGGCGTGGTGCTGGCCACCCACCCCCTCGTGTGCTGTTCCGGCCTTCATAGGTGCTGCTCGCTAACAGCACTTGCCCCTACAGTCTGTTAAGGCTATACGGGGGATCTTTGTCGTTTTTTGTGTGTGAGTGAGTGGAGCGTGCGTGTTCTCCCCGTGGTGGGCGAGTGGCTCGTTCTCCGGGTTACTCCGGATTTTTCCCCTCCACATTTAGAAACGACACGCGTTAATTTTATTTGGCTGCTACTATGAATTCCCACGTGTGACGATGACGATGATGATATCAGCCACTCCGATGATGAGCTATCATTACTTGTGGCCAGGTCGCCTCTGAACAAGAGCCAATGCTAAAGTACTAAATAATTTAGTTTCTAAGTGGCTGCAGGGGCAACATGGTCTCATTGCAGACAGCGTATCTATGGGATTTGTTTTTGCCAGTTCCAAAATGATGAAAAAATAAGAATAGGCGTTACCCTTTCTGTCAATAAAACAGCTGTTAAGGTGGAGGAAACATGCGTGGAGTCGTGTGTGTGTGTGTGGAGTTGTGCGTGCGTGTGTGGAGTCATGTGTGTGCGTGGAGTCGTGTGTGTGTGTGCGTGGAGTCGTGTGTGTGTGTGTGGAGTCATGTGTGTGTGTGCGTGAAGTCGTGTGAGTGTGCGTGGAGTCGTGTGTGTGTGTGTGGAGTCGTGTGTGTGTGTGGAGTCGTGTGTGTGTGTGGAGTCGTGTGTGTGTGTGTGGAGTCGTGTATGCGTGCATGCGTGGAGTCGTGTGTGTGTGTGTGGAGTCGTGTGTGTGTGTGTGGAGTCGTGTGTGTGTGTGCGTGGAGTCGTGTGTGTGTGGAGTCGTGTGTGTGTGTGTGGAGTCGTGTGTGTGGAGTCGTGTGTGTGTGCGTGCGTGAAGTCGTGTGAGTGTGCGTGGAGTCGTGTGTGTGTGCGTGCGTGGAGTCGTGTGTGTGCGCGTGCGTGGAGTCGTGTGTGTGCGCGTGCGTGGAGTCATGTGTGTGTGTGTGTGCGTGCGTGAAGTCGTGTGAGTGTGTGTGCGTGGAGTCGTGTGTGTGTGTGTGGAGTCGTGTGTGTGTGCGTGGAGTCGTGTGTGTGTGTGCGTGGAGTCGTGTGTGTGTGCGTGGAGTCGTGTGTGTGTGGACTCGTGTGTGTGTGTGTGCGTGCGTGGAGTCGTGTGTGTGTGTGCGTGGAGTCGTGTGTGTGTGCGTGGAGTCGTGTGTGCGTGCATGCGTGGAGTCGTGTGTGCGTGCATGCGTGGAGTCGTGTGTGTGTGTGGAGTCGTGTGTGTGTGTGTGTGCGCGCGTGAAGTCGTGTGTGTGTGTGCGTGGAGTCGTGTGTGTGTGTGCGTGCGTGGAGTCGTGTGTGTGTGTGTGCGTGGAGTCGTGTGTGTGTGTGTGCGTGGAGTCATGTGTGTGCGTGCGTGGAGTCGTGTGTGTGTGTGTGCGTGGAGTCGTGTGTGTGTGTGTGCGTGGAGTCGTGTGTGCGTGTGTGGAGTCGTGTGTGTGTATGCGTGGAGTCGTGTGTGTGTGTGTGCGTGGAGTCGTGTGTGTGTGCGTGGAGTCGTGTGTGTGTGTGCGTGGAGTCGTGTGTGTGTGTGTGGAGTCGTGTGTGCATGGAGTCGTGTGTGTGTGGAGTCGTGTGTGTGTGTGCGTGTGTGCGTGCGTGCGCGATCCGTTGCTAACGGCGTGTGAGCACGCGTCCCACACCGAGGCTCACGGGTTGGCTCTGAAAACGAGCGAGCACAAGAGGCGGGTGTAGGCAGAGCAGACAAGTGAGGTAGACAGCGCAGGTGAGACGGCACCAAACGGCAACGAGGAACTGGAGACAGCAAGGTGCGGGTTCATTGCAGACGGTGCAACAGACGAGGCGGGGGAGTACAGGAAGGCTGCACACCACAGCACCACAAGAGAGACGGCCAGCCCCGACGAACTTAAATTACATTCTTACGCCCAATACAAACGGGGATGGCGCCCGCAATGGGCGGGATCGGGGTTCGGGTAACCGGTTCAGGCCGTCCCTGCCGGCGTGCAGGGAACGGCCACGGCTCCCTTGCTCCCCCACCCCCCCGGGGGGGGGTCAGCGGCTTCCCCGACGGAGAGAGAGAGCGCGGAGAGGCATGGGCCTCCAGGCACGTGGGCCTCGTGTCCCCGGCCGCCTCCTCCTCCTCCTCCGTTCAATCGCGGCGGTGGCCACCTCCAGCCCCCAGTGGCGGGGGAGCCAGGAGCCGTGGGGGAAGGGGGGGGGGGCGCCCCCCTCCCCCCCACCGCCCTCAGCTCAAGGAGCACACAGTGCTGGGCCTCAGCTGGCGCTGAGACCTCTGCACCCGCCGGCGGTTGGCCTCCAGGTAAACGTCGCGGACGAACTTGCCGGCCGACAGGGGGATACTGCAGGGGACAGAGAGGGGGGGGCAGGGGAGAGAGGGGGGGGGGGCAGGGGAGAGAGGGGGGGCAGGGGAGAGAGGGGGGGGGCAGAGGGGTTCGGGGGGGGTGGGGTGCTGGAGTCGGCACGGAGACGAGACCCGAAAGGCACACGCACACACACATACACACACGCAAAGGCAAAGATCCCCCGTGTAGCCTTGACAGACTGTAGGGGCAAGTGCTGTTAGCGAGCACCTATGAAGGCCGGAACGGCACACGAGGGGTTGGGTGGCCAGCACCACGCCCGGCCGCCTTTGTCTCCCCAGTGGCGATGTTTACTACACACCACACCAGGTGTTCATTTGAGGCTGAGTCTACCTAGGGGAGGCCCAGGACCGGTTCGGATAATCGTCACCGGTGTTGGCCGTGAGCGGTAATCCAACTCGGGTCGACGGGTTCGTAGCGCAGCGTAGCGCTAACCGTTACACTCCCGCTCCCCACACACAAAGACAAAACACAAAAGACCCATCATACAAAGCCTTTGCCAGGCTGTTGGGGCAAGCGCTGTTAGCGAGCAGCACCTATGAAGGCCCGGCACGGCAAACGAGGGGGGATGGGTGGCCAGCGCCACGCCCGGCCGCCTTTGTCTCCCCAGTGGCGATGTTTACTGCACACCGCACCGGGTACTCCGATGAGTACGGTTGCCTGCGTACGATGCGAAATAATTTCAACACGCGCAAACCAATACCAATACGCGCCACTCGTCACTGAGCGACGGTAGGACGTCACCGCGGCGTCTGTGCCAGGCCAGGCACGCGTGAGCGCACACAGACGCGCATGGACTCACTTGTCTCGGCCGGGCCTCAGCTTGACACTGTAGAGTGCGAAGACGGGACGATGGTCGGACGTGCGGATGGAGCGGCAGGAGGTGTAGAGTAGAGAGTTCACCTCGCCCGGCACGCGCGCCCGGCACAGCACGCGGTCCTGCACCGCCAAGCCCAGCCGCACGCACCGCACGGAGACCCCACGGACCAGCCGGACTCACCGTGACTCACGGCCTGAACCACCCAGACCCACCGTGACTCACTGCCTAAACCACCCAGACTTACCGTGACTCACTGCCTGAACCACCCAGACCCACCGTGACTCACAACCTGAACCACCCAGACCCAGCGTGACTCACAGCCTGAACCACCCAGACCCACCGTAAATCACAACCTGAACCACCCAGACCCAGCGTGACTCACAGCCTGAACCACCCAGACCCACCGTAACTCACAACCTGAACCACCCAGACCCACCGTGACTCACAACCTGAACCACCCAGACTCACGGTGACTCACTGCCTGAACCACCCAGACCCACCGTGACTCACGACCTGAACCACCCAGACCCACCGTGACTCACAACCTGAACCACCCAGACTCACGGTGACTCACAACCTGAACCACCCAGACCCACCGTGACTCACAACCTGACCCACCCAGACCCACAGTGACTCACAGCCTGAACCACCCAGACCCACCGTGACTCAGCCTGAACCACCCAGATCCGTGACTCATAACCTGAACCACCCAGACCCACGGTGACTCACTGCTTGAACCACCCAGACCCACTGTGAATCACAGCCTGAACCACCCAGACCCACTGTGACTCACAGCCTGAACCACCCAAGACCCACGGTGACTCATAACCTGAACCACCCAGACCCACCGTGACTCACAGCCTGAACCACCCAGACCCACCGTGACTCACAACCTGAACCACCCAGACCCACCGTGACTCACAACCTGAACCACCCAGACCCACCGTGACTCACAACCTGAACCATCCAGACTCACCGTGACTCACGACCTGAACCACCCAGACCCACGGTGACTTACAGCCTGAACCACCCAGACCCACCGTGACTCACAACGTGAACCACCCAGACCCACGGTGACTCACAACCTGAACCACCCAGACCCACGGTGACTCACGACCTGAACCACCCAGACCCACCGTGACTCACAACCTGAACCACCCAGACCCACGGTGACTCATAGCCTGAACCACCCAGACCCACCGTGACTCACAACCTGAACCACCCAGACCCACCGTGACTCACAACCTGAACCACCCAGACTCACCGTGACTCACGACCTGAACCACCCAGACCCACCGTGACTCACAACCTGAACCACCCAGACCCACCGTGACTCACAACCTGAACCACCCAGACCCACGGTGACTCACCACCTGAACCACCCAGACCCACCGTGACTCACAGCCTGAACCACCCAGACCCAGCGTGACTCACAGCCTGAACCACCCAGACCCACCGTAAATCACAACCTGAACCACCCAGACCCAGCGTGACTCACAGCCTGAACCACCCAGACCCACCGTAACTCACAACCTGAACCACCCAGACCCACCGTGACTCACAACCTGAACCACCCAGACTCACGGTGACTCACTGCCTGAACCACCCAGACCCACCGTGACTCACGACCTGAACCACCCAGACCCACCGTGACTCACAACCTGAACCACCCAGACTCACGGTGACTCACAACCTGAACCACCCAGACCCACCGTGACTCACAACCTGACCCACCCAGACCCACAGTGACTCACAGCCTGAACCACCCAGACCCACCGTGACTCAGCCTGAACCACCCAGATCCGTGACTCATAACCTGAACCACCCAGACCCACGGTGACTCACTGCTTGAACCACCCAGACCCACTGTGAATCACAGCCTGAACCACCCAGACCCACTGTGACTCACAGCCTGAACCACCCAAGACCCACGGTGACTCATAACCTGAACCACCCAGACCCACCGTGACTCACAGCCTGAACCACCCAGACCCACCGTGACTCACAACCTGAACCACCCAGACCCACCGTGACTCACAACCTGAACCACCCAGACCCACCGTGACTCACAACCTGAACCATCCAGACTCACCGTGACTCACGACCTGAACCACCCAGACCCACGGTGACTTACAGCCTGAACCACCCAGACCCACCGTGACTCACAACGTGAACCACCCAGACCCACGGTGACTCACAACCTGAACCACCCAGACCCACGGTGACTCACGACCTGAACCACCCAGACCCACCGTGACTCACAACCTGAACCACCCAGACCCACGGTGACTCATAGCCTGAACCACCCAGACCCACCGTGACTCACAACCTGAACCACCCAGACCCACCGTGACTCACAACCTGAACCACCCAGACTCACCGTGACTCACGACCTGAACCACCCAGACCCACCGTGACTCACAACCTGAACCACCCAGACCCACCGTGACTCACAACCTGAACCACCCAGACCCACGGTGACTCACCACCTGAACCACCCAGACCCACCGTGACTCACAGCCTGAACCACCCAGACCCACCGTGACTCACAACCTGAACCACCCAGACCCACCGTGACTCACCGCCTGAACCACCCAGACCCACGGTGACTCACAACCTGAACCACCCAGACTCAGTGACTCACAGCCTGAACCACCCAGACCCACGGTGACTCACAACCTGAACCACCCAGACTCAGTGACTCACAACCTGAACCACCTAGACTCAGTGACTCACAGCCTGAACCACCCAGACCCACGGTGACTCACAGCCTGAACCACCCAGACCCACCGTGACTCACGACCTGAACCACCGTGACTCACCGCCTGAACCACCCAGACCCACGTGATTCGAGGTGGGCGTGGCACTGACCGTGTAGGAGGGCACGCGCTTCTTGGTGGAGCTGTCGAAGGTGTCGGCTCCAACGTCGTACTTGTAGGTGGGCGGGAACAGGATGAGCGCCTCGCTGAAGCCCCGGAACACGGAGCCTGGGGGGTGAAGGCCGCGGTCGTGGGGAGGGCGGGGGGGGGAGGAGGGGGGAGAGAGAGAGGGCGGGGGGGGAGGGGGGAGAGGGGGGGGGGGAGAGAGAGGGGGGGCATGAGAGGCAGTCAGCTGGGACAGAGACCACTTGGCTCTCCCGGGGTGGCGGCGGTGGTGGTGGTGGTGACAGCGGTGGTGATGTGGTGGCGATGCTGGTAGTGGTGCCGGTATGGGGGCGGTGATGGGGGTGGCGGTTGTGGCGGCTATAGCTGTGGTGGTGACGGTGGTGGGTGTTGACAGTGGTGGTGGTGTTAATCGCGATGGTGGTGGTATCTGTGGTGATGGTGGTGGCGGTGGTGGCAGAGGTGACTGTGGTGGCGGTGGTGGCGGTGGTGGCAGTGGTGGCTGTGTCAGCGGTGGTGGCTGTGGTGGCGGTGGTGGCTGTGTCGGCTGTGTCGGCTTGCTGGCTGTGTCGGCGGTGGTGGCGGTGGTGGGTGTGTCGGCTGTCTCGGCTGTGTCGGCGGTGGCGGCGGTGGCGGTGGTGGTGGCTGTGGTTGCTGTGTCGGCTGTGGTTGCTGTATTGGCTGTGGTGGCGGTGATGTCGGTGGTGGCGGTGGTGGCTGTGGTTGCTGTGTCGGCTGTGGTTGCTGTATCGGCTGTGGTGGCGGTGGTGGCTGTGGTTGCTGTGTCGGCGGTGGTGGCGGTGGTGGCGGCGGTGGCTGTGGTTGCTGTGGTGGTGGCTGTGGTTGCTGTGTCGGCTGTGTCGGCGGTGGTGGCGGTGGTGGCCGTGGTGACGGTGGTGGCGGTTGTTGCTGTGGTTGCTGTGGTGGCGGCAGTGGTTGTTGCTGTGTCGGCGGTGGTGGCGGTTGTTGCTGTGGTTGCTGTGTCGGCGTGTGGCTCACGCACCGTCGCGCAGCTTGGGCGTCAGCTGGTCGTGTGCGAGCAGCCGGTCGAGGTCACCGTGGGAGCCGCTCTGCGCCAGCGCTTCGGCCTCGGCACGCTCCAGGTCCAGGCGGAAGTTGAGATCCCCGCACCAGAAGACGACGTCAAAGCGGCTCGTGACGTCCGCTGCAGCGAGCGACATCGTCGTCAAGACAAAGATCCCCCGCGTAGCCTCAACAGACTGTCGGGGCAAGTGCTGTTAGCGAGCAGCACCTGTGAAGGCCGCCACGGCACACGAGGGGGCGGGTGGCCGGCACCACGCCCGCCCGCCTTTGTCTCCCCAGTGGCGATGTTTACTACACACCGCACCGGGTACTCATTTGAGGCCGACTCGACCTAGGGGAGGCCCAGGACCGGTTCAGATAATCGTCACCGGTGTTGGCCGTGAGTGGGAATCGAACCCGGGTCGCTGGGTTTGCAGCACAGCGCGCTAACCGCTGCACCACCGCTCCCCCACGTAAACAGACACACACAGGCACTGCGGCCGTCTGGAACGCTCTTCCTTCCGATATTAGGAAGCCACTGGAGCTACGCAGATTTTTGTAATCTCGATTGAAAACTCATGTCTTTAGAACTGCTTTTTGTGTTTTAATCTGTTGTCCTTCCACCTGTAGCTGTGTGCTGTGTGCTGTAGCTGTGTGCTGTAGGGGTGTGCTGTAGGGGTGTGCTGTAGCTGTGTGCTGTGTGCTGTAGCTGTGTGCTGTAGGGGTGTGCTGTAGGGGTGTGCTGTAGCTGTGTGCTGTGTGCTGTAGCTGTGTGCTGTAGGGGTGTGCTGTAGCTGTATGCTGTAGGGGAGTGCTGTAGGGGTGTGCTGTAGCTGTGTGCTGTGTGCTGTAGCTGTTTGCTGTAGGGGTGTGCTGTAGCTGTGTGCTATAGGGGTGTGCTGTAGCTGTGTGCTGTAGCTGTGTGCTGTGTGCTGTAGCTGTGTGCTGTAGCTGTGTGCTGTAGGGGTGTGCTGTAGGGGTGTGCTGAAGGGGTGTGCTATAGGGGTGTGCTGTAGCTGTGTGCTGTAGCTGTGCACTTTAGCTGTGTGCTGTAGGGGTGTGCTGTAGGGGTGTGCTGTAGCTGTGTGCTGTAGCTGTGTGCTGTAGCTGTGTGCTGTAGGGGTGTGCTGTAGCTGTGTGCTGTAGGGGTGTGCTGTAGGGGTGTGCTGTAGCTGTGTGCTGTAGCTGTGTGCTGTAGGGGTGTGCTGTAGCTGTGTGGTGTGTGCTGTAGCTGTGTGCTGTAGGGGTGTGCTGTAGCTGTGTGCTGTAGCTGTGTGCTGTAGGGGTGTGCTGTAGGGGTGTGCTGTAGCTGTGTGCTGTAGCTGTGTGCTGTAGCTGTGTGCTGTAGCTGTGCGCTGTAGCTGTGTGCTGTAGCTGTGTGCTGTAGGGGTGTTCTGTAGCTGTGTGCTGTAGGGGTGTAGGGGTGTGCTGTAGCTGTGTGCTGTAGCTGTGTGGTGTAGGGGTGCGCTGTAGCTGTGTGCTGTAGGGGTGTGCTGTAGGGGTGTGCTGTAGCTGTGTGCTGTAGGGGTGTGCTGTAGCTGTGTGCTGTGTGCTGTAGGGGTGTGCTGTAGCTGTGTGCTGTAGCTGTGTGGTGTAGGGGTGCGCTGTAGCTGTGTGCTGTAGGGGTGTGCTGTAGGGGTGTGCTGTAGCTGTGTGCTGTAGGGGTGTGCTGTAGGGGTGTGCTGTGTGCTGTAGCTGTGTGCTGTAGCTGTGTGCTGTAGGGGTGTGCTGTAGCTGTGTGCTGTAGCTGTGTGCTGTAGGGGTGTGCTGTAGGGGTGTGCTGTGTGCTGTAGCTGTGTGCTGTAGGGGTGTGCTGTAGGGGTGTGCTGTAGGGGTGTGCTGTAGCTGTGTGCTGTAGGGGTGCGCTGTAGCTGTGTGCTGTAGCTGTGTGCTGTAGCTGTGTGCTGTGGCTGTGTGCTGTAGCTGTGTGCTGTAGCTGTGTGCTGTAGCTGTGTGCTGTAGGGGTGTGCTGTAGCTGTGCGCTGTAGCTGTGCACTGTAGGGGTGTACTGTAGCTGTGTGCTGTAGCTGTGTGCTGTAGCTGTGCGCTGTAGCTGTGCTGTGCTGTAGCTGTGTGCTGTATGAGTGTGCTGTAGCTGTGTGCTGTAGCTGTGTGCTGTAGCTGTGTGCTGTAGTGGTGTGCTGTAGGGGGTGCTGTAGCTGTGTGCTGTGGCTGTGCGCTGTAGTTGTGCGCTGTAGCTGTGTGCTGTAGGGGTGTGCTGTAGCTGTGTGCTGTAGCTGTGTGCTGTAGGGATGTGCTGTAGGGGTGTGCTGTAGCTGTGTGCTGTAGTTGTGTGCTGTAGCTGTGCGCTGTAGCTGTGTGCTGTAGCTGTGTGCTGTAGGGGTGTGCTGTAGCTGTGTGCTGTAGCTGTGTGCTGTAGGGGTGTGCTGTAGGGGTGTGCTGTAGGGGTGTGCTGTAGGGGTGTGCTGTAGGGGTGTGCCATAGATGTGTGCTGTAGCTGTGCGCTGTAGCTGTGTGCTGTAGCTGTGTGCTTTAGGGGTGTGCTGTAGCTGTGCGCTGTAGGGGTGTGCTGTAGCTGTGCGCTGTAGCTGTGCGCTGTAGCTGTGTACTGTAGGGGTGTGCTGTAGGGGTGTGCTGTAGCTGTGTGGTGTAGGGGTGTGCTGTAGCTGTGCGCTGTAGCAGTGTGCTGTAGCTGTGTGCTGTAGCTGTCCGCTGTAGGGGTGTGCTGTAGCTGTGTGGTGTATCTGTGTGGTGTATCTGTACCGCTGTAGGGGTGTGCTGTAGCTGTGTGGTGTAGCTGTGTGGTGTATCTGTACCGCTGTAGGGGTGTGCTGTAGCTGTGTGGTGTATCTGTACCGCTGTCCTGCTGGTAGGCATTGGTGAGAGGGACAACGCGAGGGAGGGTAAGCGACTCGATGATCTTGTTGTAGTCGAGGATTCGCTCCATCACCTTGCTATCTCCAGCTGCCACCACCACCACAACCACCACCACAACCACCACCATCAACCACAATCAACACAACCACCACCACAACCACCACCATCAACCACAATCAACACCACCACAAACACCACTATCAACCACAACCACCACTGTCAACCACAATCAACACAACCACAACCTTGTTGTAGTCGAGGATTCGCTCCATCACCTTGCTATCTCCAGCTGCCACCACCACCATCAACCACAGTCAACACAACCACCACCACAACCACCACCATCAACCACAATCAACACCACCACAACCACCACCATCAACCACAATCAACACCACCACAAACACCACTATCAACCACAACCACCACTGTCAACCACAATCAACACCACCACCATCAACCACAACCAACACCATCAACTACCACCACCATCAACTACCACCACGACCACCATCAACTACCACCACCATCAAATACCACCACAACCATCACAACGACCATCAATTACCACAACCAACATAACAACAACCACCACCACCACCACAATCACTACCATCAACAACCACCACTACCATCAACAACCACCACCATCAACCACCACTACCATCAACAATCAGCACAACCAATACAACTACCACAACAGGTGAGGGGGCAGCAGTAGAAGCAGCAGTGTCTCACGGGTGAGGGCAGCAGTAGCAGCAGCAGTGTCTCACAGGTGAGGGCAGCAGTAGCAGCAGCAGTGTCTCACAGGTGAGGGCAGCAGTAGCAGCAGCAGTGTCTCACAGGTGAGGGCAGCAGTAGCAGCAGCAGTGTCTCACAGGTGAGGGCAGCAGTAGCAGCAGCAGTGTCTCACAGGTGAGGGCAGCAGTAGCAGCAGCAGTGTCTCACAGGTGAGGGCAGCAGTAGCAGCAGCAGTGTCTCACAGGTGAGGGCAGCAGTAGCAGCAGCAGTGTCTCACAGGTGAGGGCAGCAGTAGCAGCAGCAGTGTCTCACAGGTGAGGGCAGCAGTAGTAGCAGCAGTGTCTCACAGGTGAGGGCAGCAGTAGAAGCAGTGTCTCACAGGTGAGGGCAGCAGTAGAAGCAGCAGTGTCTCACAGGTGAGGGCAGCAGTAGAAGCAGTGTCTCACAGGTGAGGGCAGCAGTAGAAGCAGTGTCTCACAGGTGAGGGCAGCAGTAGTAGCAGCAGTGTCTCACAGGTGAGGGCAGCAGTAGCAGCAGCAGTGTCTCACAGGTGAGGGCAGCAGTAGAAACAGTGTCTCACAGGTGAGGGCAGCAGTAGTAGCAGCAGTGTCTCACAGGTGAGGGCAGCAGTAGAAACAGTGTCTCACAGGTGAGGGCAGCAGTAGAAGCAGCAGTGTCTCACAGGTGAGGGCAGCAGTAGAAACAGTGTCTCACAGGTGAGGGCAGCAGTAGCAGCAGCAGCAGCAGTGTCTCACAGGTGAGGGGGCAGCAGCAGCAGTGTCTCACAGGTGAGGGCAGCAGTAGCAGCAGCAGTGTCTCACAGGTGAGAGGGCAGCAGTAGCAGCAGTGTCTCACAGGTGAGGGCAGCAGTAGAAACAGTGTCTCACAGGTGAGGGCAGCAGTAGTAGCAGCAGTGTCTCACAGGTGAGAGGGCAGCAGTAGCAGCAGCAGTGTCTCACAGGTGAGGGCAGCAGTAGCAGCAGCAGTGTCTCACAGGTGAGGGCAGCAGTAGAAACAGTGTCTCACAGGTGAGGGCAGCAGTAGCAGCAGCAGTGTCTCACAGGTGAGAGGGCAGCAGTAGCAGCAGTGTCTCACAGGTGAGGGGGCAGCAGCAACAGCGGCGGTGTCTCAGGTGAGGGGGCAGCAGCGGCAGCAGTGTCTCACAGGTGAGGGCAGCAGTAGCGGCAGCAGTGTCTCACAGGTGAGGGCAGCAGTAGCAGCAGCAGTGTCTCACAGGTGAGGGGGCAGCAGCAGCAGCAGTGTCTCACAGGTGAGGGCAGCAGTAGAAGCAGCAGTGTCTCACAGGTGAGGGCAGCAGTAGCAGCAGCAGTGTCTCACAGGTGAGGGCAGCAGTAGCAGCAGTGTCTCACAGGTGAGGGCAGCAGTAGCAGCAGCAGTGTCTCACAGGTGAGGGGGCAGCAGCAGCAGCAGTGTCTCACAGGTGAGGGGGCAGCAGCAGCAGCAGTGTCTCACAGGTGAGGGCAGCAGTAGAAGCAGCAGTGTCTCACAGGTGAGGGCAGCAGTAGCAGCAGCAGTGTCTCACAGGTGAGGGCAGCAGTAGCAGCAGTGTCTCACAGGTGAGGGCAGCAGTAGCAGCAGCAGTGTCTCACAGGTGAGGGGGCAGCAGCAGCAGCAGTGTCTCACAGGTGAGGGGGCAGCAGCAGCAGCAGCAGTGTCTCACAGGTGAGGGCAGCAGTAGAAGCAGCAGTGTCTCACAGGTGAAGGGGCAGCAGCAGCAGTGTCTCACAGGTGAGGGCAGCATCAGCAGTGGCAGTGTCTCACAGGTGAGGGCAGCAGTGTCTCACAGGTGAGAGGGCAGCAGTGGCGGTGTCTCAGGTGAGAGGGCAGCAGCAGCAGCAGTGTCTCACAGGTGAGAGGGCAGCAGCATCAACAGCGGCGGTGTCTCACAGGTGAGGTGCGAGGTGACGAAGAGGAAGGAGGTGCCGAAGAACGTGAAGGCGACGGCGACGGCCCCCTTGGTCTTGATCTGAGAGACGGCTCGCGTCGTCACCGTGGCGTGCTCCACCTCTACAAAGGCAAAGGTCCCCCGTGTAGCCTCGACACGCCGCCGGGGCAAGTGCCGTCGGCGAGGGGCGGCGGGCGGCCTACGGAGGCCGGCAACGTGGCACGCGGCGATTTGTCTCCCCGCCGGGGGCTGGACGATTAATCTATTTCAAGTCGAAGTCGCGATTTGTCTCCCCGCCGGGGGGCTGGACGATTAATCGATTTCAAGTCGAAGTCGCGATTTGTCTCCCCGCCAGGGGCTGAACGATTAATCGATTTCAAGTCGAAGTCGCGATTTGAAACAATGCGATGAGCGAATCGCAAACGCCGCAATTCTTTCGCGATTTGAAAAGCCCTATTACTTTTCTTATTGGAATTTTTTCATATATTTTTATTATTATTATAACTTCATTCAACTTAACAATTGTTCTCCGTTTGATTGTTCTGTTTCAATAAAAAAAAAACATTTTTTTATAAATGCACGTTGGAAGCAGTTAATATCTTTTAAGTTCTCATCCTTGCACTAGAACGTAAAGAGCAGTTCATATTGTGATGGTATCACGTGGTAATGCTCCATCACGTGTTTTTAAATCTATTACACAGTGAACATTGAACTGAAGCTTGACTTAAAAAAATTCATATTCTTGTTTCTTTCGGTAAAGTCACGTTTCACACCTGATGATGACTGCAACACAAGCAGTAATCATCAGGTGTGAAAACCAACGGCAAAAACATTTGAAAGAAGACTGCTTGTGTTGCAGTCGAAACGTCGTGAGAATGTTATTGTTTTATGTATGTTTTATTATTTTATTGTTTCCCTTCTACGTGGTGACTTTACCGAAAGAACCAAGAATATGAATCACTGCAGTCACGAAAGCCTTAAATCAAAATTTAAAAAATAATAATCGCAATATCTGTCAGAAAAATCGCTGGCGACGTTTTTTTGTTGTTGTTGTTGTTTACGCACGAGCACCGGGTACTCGTTTGAGGCCGAGTCGACCTAGGGGAGGCCCAGGTTCAGATAATCGTGAGCGGTGTCGGTAGGCCGTGAGCCGGGAATTCGAAGTGAGGTCGCCGGGTTCGTAGCGCTGCGCGCGGGTATAAGCGGGCACGCACCGCACACACGATACTATCAGCTAATTTAATGTCACCGGGTAAGGTCCACTTGGGCTGCGTAGTTCTGTTTCAGAAGCAACCTGCCCGCAAATGGTCGCTCAACGAAGGCGGCTCGTCACCACCACGTGGAAATTCCTAGCAGCAGCCAGAGCCTCTCAACGCGTGGCGATGTCGATTCCAAGTGTGGAGGAGAAAACCCGGAGGGATCGGAGGAAAATCCACGGGACCAAGGGGAGAGAGAGAGAGAGAAAGGGGGAGACACCGCAAACTCCACAACACACAGCAGCAGGCGTCAGGGTCGGGATCGAACCCACGCACTCCTGCGTACCAGGCGAGGGAGTTAACATCTCCTGGCCCGACACGCGCGCATGCGCGAACACGCAAACAAAACACACACAAGCGCACGCGCGCGTGAACACACACGCGCACGTGAACACACACGCGCACGCGCGCGTGAACACACACGTGCGCGCGGCGGTCACCTGAGCAGAACCAGATGAGGTCTCGACGCAGCAGCACGGCGAGGTGCAGCACGCCGTGCACGGCCGAGTAGAGCAGCACGTGGGACGGGCCCAGCGTCTCCTGCAGGCGCACCTCCCACTCGCGCCTGCCGCCCGCACACACAGGCACACACACAGACACACACACACAGACACACACACAGGCACACACACAGGCACACACACAGGCACTCACGCACAGGCACACGCACAGGCACACACACAGGCACACACACAGGCACTCACGCACAGGCACACGCACAGGCACACACACAGGCACACACAGGCACACACAGGCACGCGCGCACACACACACGCACACACACAGACACACACACAGACACAGGCACACACGCACACACAGGAACACACACAGGCACACGCACAGGCACACGCACAGGCACACGCACAGGCACACACACAGGCACACACGCACACACAGGCACACAAACAAGCACACACACAGGCACACGTGCACACACAGGCACACGCGCACACACAGGCACACACACAGGCACACGCGCACACACAGACACACGCGCACACACAGGCACACACACACAGACACGTGCACACACACAGGCACACGCGCACACACAGACACACGCGCACACACAGGCACACACACAGGCACACGCGCACACACAGGCACACACACAGGCACACGCGCACACACAGGCACACACACAGGCACACGCGCACACACAGGCACACACACAGGCACACGCGCACACACCGGCACACGCGCACACAGACACACTCACAAGCACACGCACACACACAGGCACACGCGCACACAGACACACACACAAGCACACGCACACACACAGGCACACGCGCACACAGACACACACACACACAGGCACACGCGCACACACAGGCACACGCACACACACGCACACACACAGGCACACGCGCACACACACACGCACAACCACAGGCACACACACACACACGCGCACACACAGACACACACAATGCGGGCAAAAGATAATAACGTTTTGTCTATTTGTTTGTGTTTCTCCCTTGCGATGGGACTTTGTAGGATGAACGTTGAGAGTTGTAAGGGGCACGGGGTCTGTAGTAAGGTAGGGGCACTGATAAGGGGTTGACAGGTATGGGAACCCCAACGCTCCGTTGACTTGTAGACGACTCGGGGGATGGGAAAGGGTTGAGTAAGTTCATTCATCTTAGTCCTGGTTCTTTCGGTAAAGTCACGTAGAAGGAAAACAATAAAATAATAAAGATATTTTTATTCTTTTATAATAAAAATATTTATTATTATTTTATTTTATAATAAAAATATGTTCATTATTTTATTTTATAATAAAGATATTTTTATTATTTTATTTTATAATAAAAATTATATTTTTATTATTTTATTGTTTCCCTTCTACGTGGTGACTTTACCGAAAGAACCAAGAATATGAATCCCTGCAGTCACGAACGATTTAAATAATTCATCTTCTTTGGATCTCTCGGCAAAGTCACGTAGATGGTTCAAAGATGACGACGATCGATTGTGTCGTGATCGAAACGTCATCGGTTTTTTGTTATTTTTTTTCATGAACCGTCCACGTGACTTTACCGGCTTTACCGAAAGACCCAAAGGGAATATGAATTCCTGCAGTCACGAAAGCTTCAAGCCAGGATTTAAGCTGATTCACTTCACTTGGCCAAATCCCGGCCGCGACACTTACAGCCTGGTAAGGCAATGTACGGGGCGACAGCCCGAGCGTGGTTACTAACGGAGGCTCGCGATGAAAACGAGCGCGGGAGAGGCCCTTCGACGTGAAATTCCGGACGCGCTCCCCGGCGACAGGGGCGACACCCGCGCTTGCCAGCTCGTGGAAGTACCGTCTCCCGCGGTCCACGATCCCCGGAGCAAAGTTGTCATGCAGCTCGAGCGCTTGCGCCGGGCTAGGTGCGCTTTGACGGGCGGCGGCAGTGTGGGGGGTGTGGAGGTGTGGAAGGGGAGAGGAGGCGGGGGGGGGTACGCACCGGTCCGGAGCGGCCTCCTGCACGCCCACCACGTACGCGTCCTGCAGGAACGGCGCCTCGGCGGGCAGCAGGAAGTCGTCGAGGCTTGCCGGCAGCGAGCGTCGGCCCTGCATGTTCCAGGTGCCCACGAAGACGCGCAGCCGCCGCTGCGGCACGTGGCGCTCCAGCTCGTCGGCGCCCAGCAGCGAGCCGCCCGCCAGCAGGGAGCCGTCCAGGAAGCTCCTGCGGGGGGACACGGACGCGCGCAGCCGACCGCCGTTACCGTCGGCACCGTCGGCACCGCCTGCCGCCGTTACCGTCGGCACCGCCGCCGTTACCATCAACCCCACCGCCGTTACCATCGGCACCGCCGTCGCCGTTACCGTCAACACCACAATTGCCATCAACCCCACCGCCATTACCATCAACCCCACAATTGCCATCAACCCCATCGCCATTACCATTAACACCACAATTGCCATCAACCCCACCGCCGTTACCATCAACCCCATCGCCGTTACCATCAACACCGCACTTGCCATCAACCCCACCGCCGTTACCATCAACCCCACCACAATTGCCATCAACCCCATCGCCGTTACCATCAACACCGTAATTGCCATAAACCCGACCGCCGTTACCATCAACACTACAATTACCATCAACACTACCACAATTACCATCAACCCCACCTTCAACATTATCTACACCACCACCACCACCACAGACAACCGACATTCACCACTAAGCGGCGGTGACATCACCACGGCACTTGTGCCAGGCTACGTGCACTTTGAGGCCACGTGAAGTGTTGAAGTCTCGCTGTTAGATCACGTGGCAGACCCAAGTTCCATGGGTTGACTGACTGAGATGATTGGCAGATGCACCAGCCAACTCGCTGCGTTTTAGCCACCCGGTGCTCCGCTCAATGTTGTGAGCATCGCTCCTCTGCCCTCTGTTGTTGTTGGAGGGCGACTGCCTCCAACTGCCCAGTAGCGTCCTTCATGAGCCTCCTCCACAGAGGCCGATCTTGACACCGCTGGTACCAGTCAACGGCAAGTCCACTCAGCTCCACATCCTCCCGTCTCTTCTCTAGCCCGTGCAGCGCACGTTTAGCCCTCTCTATCTGGCCAAACAAAAGCTACTTGGGCATGCAATGGGTTGGCATGCTGGCTACATGACCCAGCTCCTCACACAATCCAGTCGGGTTAATCCCAGGACGGGTCATAGGCAGGGCAGCCTATACGTTGCAGATGTTCCATTAGAGGGCTTCATGTTTTGCAAGCATACAGAAGGGAGGGCAATTACTGTGGCCAAGAAGACCCGAAGATTCCTGTGGAGAAATTGGCCAGGTAGCTTCCACACAGCATTACGCAGCTGATTTTTTTTTTTTAAATGCCGTTTGATTCAGATCGAGACCTCTGCTGCCAAAGCGGAGCTGGTCATAATTCCTCATTCACTCTCTCCACAACTGCCCCATCCATCACTCATGGGGAGTTGAGGGGGGGGGGGTGGAATATTTGACGACATAAATAATCTAGATTGAAAACTCAGGCACTTTGTTTTCTGCGGGGCTACCGGTAAGGCCCCATCTCTTAGTCGCACGCTCCAGCTTCAGCAGTGAAGTTTCCAACTCCTCCTCTGAGTGAGCAGCAATCACCAGATCATCAGCGTCCATAACACGGTTGACCAATAGGGAGACATCGCTTGACCGCACCCGGGCATCGATCGGCCTCCCGTTGTATCTGTAGCAGATGGAAAGTCCTCCGGTACAGCCATGGAAAGCTTCTCGAGCCTGGGTTGCTGGGTTCGTAGCGCAGCGTGCAATCTGCTGCGCTACTGCTCACCAAAGTAAAAATGTAAAGACAAAGATCCCCCGTATATCCTTTAAAGGTCTGGTGGGGAAAGTGCCATTAGCGAAGAGCAGCACCTATTAAGGCCGGCACGGCTACACGAGAAGGTGGGTGGTCAGAAGCACGCCCGACCGCCTTTGTCTCCCTAGTAGTGATGTTTAGACACCGCACCACGTACTCATTCGAGGCTGAGTCGACCTACGGGTGGCCCAGGACCGGATCAGATAATCATCACTGGTGTTGGCTGTGAGCAGGAATCGAACTTGGGTCACTGGGTTTGAAGCACAGCGTGCTAACCGCTACACTACTGCTCACCACAAACACTAATACACATTAGACAAAAACAAATATCCCCGTATAAGCTGCAACAGACTGTTGGGGCAAGTGCTGTTAGCGAGCACCTATGAAGGCCGGCACGGCACACGAGGGGGTGGGTGGCCAGCACCACGCCCGACCGCCTTTGTCTCCCCAGTGGCGATGTTTACAGACCGCACCAGGTACTCATTTGAGGCTGAGTCGACCTAGGGGAGGCCCGGGACCCGTACAGAAAATCGTCACCGGTGTTGGCCGTGAGCGGGAATCAAACCCGGGTCGCCGGTTTCATAGCGAAGCGCGCAAACCACTACACTATCGCTCCCCCATACACAAACACACTCACAGACACATAGAAAAACAGACACTCACAGCCAGATAGACCCACTGACAGACACACAGGCAGACAGAGGCACTGACACAATCACAGCCACATAGACCCACTGACAGACACACAGGCATACAGAGACACTGACACACTCGCAGACACACAGACACACTGACAGACACACAGGCATACAGAGACACTGACACACTCGCAGACACACTGACAGACACACAGGCATACAGAGACACTGACACACTCGCAGACACACAGACACACTGACAGACACACAGGCATACAGAGACACTGACACACTCGCAGACACACTGACAGACACACAGGCATACAAAGACACTGACACACTCGCAGACACACAGACACACTGACAGACACACAGGCATACAGAGACACTGACACACTCGCAGACACACAGAAACACTGACAGACACACAGGCATACAGAGACACTGACACGCTAGCAGACACACAGACACACTGACAGACACACAGGCGTACAGAGACACTGACACACTCGCAGACACACAGACACACTGACAGACACACAGGCATACAAAGACACTGACACACTCGCAGACACACAGACACACTGACAGACACACAGGCGTACAGAGACACTGACACACTCGCAGACACACAGACACACTGACAGACACACAGGCAGACAGAGACACTGACACACTCGCAGACACACAGACACACTGACAGAAACACAGAGACACAGACACACTCACAGACACACAGACACACTGACAGACACACAGGCATACAAAGACACTGACACACTCGCAGACACACAGACACACTGACAGACACACAGGCATACAAAGACACTGACACACACACAGACACACTGACAGAAACACAGAGACACTGACACACTCACAGACACACTGACAGACACACAGGCATACAAAGACACTGACACACTCGCAGACACAGACACACTGACAGACACACAGGCATACAGAGACACTGATACACTCAGACAGACAGACACACTGACAGACAAACAGGCATACAGAGACACTGACACACTCGCAGACACACAGACACACTGACAGACACACTGACAGACACACAGGCATACAGAGTCACTGAAACACTCGCAGACACACAGACACACTGACACACAGGCATACAGAGACACTGACACACTCGCAGACACAGACACACTGACAGACACACAGGCATACAAAGACACTGACACACACACACAGACACACAGACACACAGGCATACAAAGACACTGACACACACACAGACACACTGACAGAAACACAGAGACACTGACACACTCACAGACACACTGACAGACACACAGGCATACAAAGACACTGACACACACACACAGGCATACAAAGACACTGACACACACACAGACACACTGACAGAAACACAGAGACACTGACACACTCACAGACACACTGACAGACACACAGGCATACAAAGACACTGACACACACACAGACACACAGACACACAGGCATACAAAGACACTGACACACACACAGACACACTGACAGAAACACAGAGACACTGACACACTCATAGACACACTGACAGACACACAGGCATACAGAGACACTGACACACTCGCAGACACACAGACACACTGACCAACACACTCACAGGTTGACAGCCACACTCACACACACACTCATCGACACACAGACACAAGCGCACAGAAAGGAGACGCAACGGCATTCACCGACACAACTGAGAGACACGCACGCGCACACACACACACACTGATTGACGCATAGACACACCGACAATCTCACAGGCGTGTGGACACACTGATGGACACACTGCTCGACACAGACAAGCCGACACTCGGAAGGCTCTGTAGTTACATGGTGTCTCCGGTCGAAGCGGCTGCTGAGTCGGAGTGGCTGGCGGTCGCTATGGCAGAGACGCCAAATCACCCCTGTCTCCCTCCCCCTCTTTCTCCCTCCCTCCCTCTGTCCCTCACTCCTCCTTCCTCCCTCCTTCTCCTCCTCCCTCCCTCCATCCTACCTCTCTCTTTTTTGTTTACGATCAGAGGAAACAAGAAGACGCTCGGTGTAGTCGGCGCTTAGCTTCGCTCATCATTTCGTTTTTTTTTAATGCTTTGCTTTATGTAACCCCCCCCTCCCCCCCACTTTTTAAATGAAATTTTATCATTTTATTGTTTCCCTTCAACGCTGACTTTACCGAAAAAAACAAGAATATGAATCACTGCAGTCACGAAAGCTTTAAATAAAAATGTCACAAAAGCTTTCGCGCTCTGCTCTCCTTAACCCCTTCCCTCTCTCTCTCCTCCCTCTCCTTAAACCCACTCCCTCACCGCAGCGCAGATCGCAACAACTCACTCGCTCGCCACGCAGGACAGCTGCCCCCCAACTGCCCAGTAGCGTCCATCACGAGCCTCCTCCTCCTCCTCCGCCTCCTCCACAGAGGCCCATCGTGAAACCGCCGGTCATCGGCAAGTCCACTCAGCTCCACATCCTCCTGTAACCGCATCAGCTCCACGTCTCCTCCAGCCCCCACCGTGCCCATTCACCCCCCTCTATCCGGTCAAGCGGTGGCTGGGCACGCGGGGCTACGTGACCCAGTCACTTGCCCGGGAGGAGCTCAACGATGGGGATTGCGAGCAGATCTCTTAAGGACCTGTGAGCTCCTCGCACGATTCAGTCCGATTTACCGCAGGATGGATCGTAGGCAGGCCGGCCACTCACTCACTGCAGGCCGCCG